GAACCCATGTCCCCTGCACTGGCAGGTGGATTCTTAACCACTGTGCCACCAGGGAAGTCCTGGCACCAAATTTTTGATCTGGTGATGCTGCTACTGTTGATACGGTTCCTAGCAAGCCCACATGTGTTGAGAGTTTCTCTATCCTCCTCTGGGTTGTTTTACTGTTCATGGCATGGATAGACAGTTGCTGTGTCATTAAAGTGGTGGAAAAGAAGGCAGCTGGAGCTGGCAAGGTCACCAAGTCTGCCCAGAAAACTCAGAGGCTAAATGAATATTATCTCCAATACCTGTCACCCCAGTCTTAATCAGTGGTGGAATAATGGTCTCAGAACTCTTTGTAAAAAGACTGATTAATGATAACAATGAATTGTATAAACTTCAGAAGGAAAGGAGACTGTTTTGTGCACCACTGGTCTCGTGTGTGGCAGTTTAAAATTACTAGTTTTTAAAATCAGTACTTTAAAAATTATTTTATTTTGTACTGGAGTATAGCTGATTTACAATGTTGTGCTAGTTTCAGGTGTACAGCAAAGTGATTCAGTTACATATATTCTTTTTCAGATTCTTTTCCCACATAGAATACTGAGTTCCCTGTGCTATACAGTAGGTCCTTGTTGATTATCTATTTTATATATACTAGTGTGTATATGATAATCCCAAACTCCTAATTATCCCTCCCCCCAACCTTTCCCCTTTGGTTTTTTAAGTCGTGTTTCTGTTTTGTAAATAAGTTCATTAAAATCAGTACTTTTTAATCAGTTAAAGCCCTCAAGGAAATTATCCCGATTTGGTTTAAGGCATTGGAACTACATTAATCCCGGAGACCACAATCAACAGGAAAAACTGAGAAAATGAATACTAACTTAACTTGGGATAAGGCCTTGTCAATTGCCCTGCTATGGATTAGTGGCTCCCAGAAGCAGGCTTAAATTAAGCCCCTTTGAAATACTGTATTGTAGTTCATTCTAGGTGTCTACCCAGGCAGGAGAATCTATAAATGCTCTGAAAGACGTAGCAGTTGCCAGTTATGCTAAAACTTTGGGCATTATACTAAACCCTGTTCATGAGTTTGACTCCAACAGGTCTGCCTATTGAACTTAAGTAAATGGTGATATCATTATGGCCAGAAAGGGGTCAACCTATTTAATTTTTTCCAAGTAAACAGCATAGGAACTTAGTATATGTATTGGGAACTGGAACTGAACCCCAACCCCAAGTTCAATTACAAATTAGACAACAAAGTGCTAAGGAGTTTCATCAGGTTCAAATGGTTGTAGATAAAAAAGGAAAGAGGATTTTACTGCTAAACATTCTAAAGAATATTCATTGCCCCTGTTCAGAAGGAAGTAGCCAGAGCAGTCTTTGTCCCTTTCCCCACAAGGCTGTGGAATGGACATTGGCAATGGGGAATTGTAATAGGGAAGAACCTTTGTATTCTATTACAAGTTAATCACTAAAGGGATGTTGCTTACAAGCTTAAAGTATATGCAATTCCCATCTCTGGGAACCCTGCCTCCCAGGTAATGAGCATTAAGCTAATATACCTTTGTTTAGCTCACAGGAAACATCTGGACCAGGCCCACCTGTGAATTAACACAGCCCCTCCGGAGGCTGGCTGGAACCAGGAAATGTTTGACTTTACTCCCTCTGATTTTATTATATAAGAAACTTGAATTCTAACTCAGACAAGATGGTTCTTTGGGATATGAGTCCACCATCTTCTTGGTCTGCTGGCTTTCCTTGCCCCAACAGCTTGTCTCTTGATTTACTGGCCTGTCGTGGGGTGAGCAGCACAAGCTTGGACTTGGTAACACAAACTCTAGAGGAAGATGGTGATGGGTCTGGGGCAGGCTCTCTAGTGGAGAGGACTCCCTGCCTTCTTCAAAACACCATATGTCCTGGCTCTCCTTCTGTCATCTGGCTACTTTCAGATATGATTCCTTTCCTGCACTGTGTAAAGCATCTTTCCTGAGTAATGATTCCCCCCATCAATGACTTCTGGGCAATTAAACACAGTTTTTCATGCAGAAGAGGTTGGGGACTCCTGATACAAACCTCTGCAAATACCTTATTCAGAAACAAGAGTTTATGTTCTCCCAGCAATAACTGTTCATTTGTTTTGCAAGGTAACAGCTGCTTCCCATAACTTCAGCAACCTTGACATATCTATAAGTTCACTAAAATCTTTTGGTCAAATGCAGCTAATTAAAGCAGAATTGATGCATACAGTATTCAGAATTTCAAAGTTAAATACACATAAACAGTCCCTAATCATAGTATGGGGCAAACCTAACTAATGGGTACCATTTTAAGTTTTGGTTATTCTTGAATTTACACATCAATTTTAGAATCAGTTTCAACAGTTCTATGGTAAGTCCTGTTGAGATTTTAAAAATATGATTGAGCTGAATTCTTTACAATATTAAATCTTTTCATTCACAACTTAAAAAATGGAAAGGACTATCTTGGTTATCTTTTATGTCCTTCAGTAACATCTTATCTTCTCCAATAAGACCTTAGAATATTTGTCAGGCTTTTTTTCCTCAGTAACCTTTTAAAAAATTGCTGTTGTGGATGGTATCCACTTTCCTCCCATAGAATTTCCCAATATTGCTATTATATCTTTGTATATTGATGCTGTATTCAGTCACCAGAACCATTAAAGTCACAAGTCTTTAATGAAAAGAGATGAAGTATAAATGAAAACTTTAAAAGCGATGTGGCTACAGTTGGATTTAAAATTAAGAATGAGAAATGCAATGTGGGCCGGAAAATACTGTTAGGTGTTTGTGTGATTTCCTGATAACTAACGGATTTGTTATTAAAAGGTCTAACACTGTGGTTATTAAGTTTCTTGGGTGGCCATGTGAATCAAGTCTCAGAAGATACCTGGAGTTTAAAAAGTTAGACTCTGTGGATCCTCAGGAATCTGGTCCAGAGGAAATCCAGTAGTTAAATGAGGCCTGCTTATACTTAACATTTTTAAGCTTAATTATCTGTTATAAGTAGCCATTAGTAAACATTAGTAAACATTTTCATTCCATACAATGAAGAGAAACCCAGGAGCTATTAACATTTTGAGTAATAAGTGATTAATAAGTTTGGTGAGGGACTTCCCTGGTGGCACAGTGGTTAAGAATCTGCCTGCCAAGCAAAGGAAACCATAATCAAGACGAAAAGACAACCCTCAGAATGGGAGAAAATATTTGCAAATGAAGCAACTGACAAAGGATTAATCTCCAAAATTTATACGCAGCTCATGCAGCTCAATAACAAAAAAACAAACAACCCAATCCAAAAATGGGCAGAAGACCTAAATAGACATTTCTCCAAAGAAGATATACAGACTGCCAACAAACACATGAAAGAATGCTCAACATCACTAATCATTAGAGAAATGCAAATCAAAACTACAATGAGATATCATCTCACACCAGTCAGAATGGCCATCATCAAAAAATCTAGAAACAATAAATGCTGGAGAGGGTGTGGAGAAAAGGGAACCCTCTTGCACTGTTGGTGGGAATGTAAATTGATACAGCCACTGTGAAGAACAATATGGAGGTTCCTTAAAAAATTACAAATAGAACTACCATACCATATGACCCAGCCATCCCACTACTGGGCATATACCCTGAGAAAACCATAATTCAAAAGAGTCATGTACCAAAATGTTCATTGCAGCTCTATTTACAAAAGCCTGGAGATGGAAACAACCTAAGTGTCCATCATCGGATGAATGGATAAAGAAGATGTGGCACATATATACAATGGAATATTACTCAGCCATAAAAAGAAACGAAATTGAGCTATTTGTAATGAGGTGGATAGACCTAGAGTCTGTAATACAGAGTGAAGTCAGAAAGAGAGAGACAAACACTGTATGCTAACACATATATATGGAATTTAAGAAAAAAAATGTCATGAAGAACCTAGGGGTAAAACAGGAATAAAGACACAGACCTACTAGAGAATGGACTTGAGGATATGGGGAGGGGGAAGGGTAAGCTGTGACAAAGCGAGAGAGAAGCATGGACATATATACACTACCAATAAGGTAGATAGCTAGTGGGAAGCAGTCGCATAGCACCGGGAGATCAGCTCGGTGCTTTGTGACCGCCTGGAGGGGTGGGATAGGGAGGGTGGGAGGGAGGGAGACGCAAGCGGGAAGAGATATGGGAACGTATGTATATATATGTAACTGATTCATTTTGTTGTAAAGCAGAAACTAACACACCATTGTAAAGCAATTATATCCAATAAAGATGTTAAAAAAAAAGAATCTGCCTGCCAATGCAGGAGACACGAGTTCGAGCCCTGGCCTGGGAAGATCCCACATGCTGCAGAGCAACTAAGCCCGTGTACCGCAATTACTGAGCCTGCACTCTAGAGCCCGCATGCCAGACTACTGAAGCCTGCACTCCTAGAGCCCATTCTCCGCAACAAGCCACAGCAATGAGAAGTCCGCTCACCACAACAAAGAGTAGCCCCCACTTGCTGCAACCAGAGAAAGCCTGCGTGCCACATGGAGACTCAACTCAGACAAAAATAAATAAATTTAAAAAAAAAAGAAGTTTGTTGAATGTACACCCAGGCCATTTCAAATCTCTTTTGGAAGGCATCAAGGAAAAATAATTACAGGACTTCCCCAGCAGTCCAGTGGTTAAGACTCTGAGCTTCCACTGCAGGGGGCAGACTGGATCCCTGGTCAGGGAACTAAGATCCCGCATGCTGCAGGGCATGGCTGAAAAAAAAGGAAAAATAATTACACCTGTTAGTGATCTAACTAAAAAATAACTATACCTCCCAACAGAAGTGTAAATAAGACCCATAATTTATGATCTTATTGTGTCAGGCCTTTAACTATGACATAAACATTTCTATAATCTAGATAAAAATCTCAATTCCTTTTTCTTTTTAGGACTCAGGAAATAGTTTCTTTTACCTAAATAGGTAACACCATAGTCCCCATATGATTTGACACTGTTCCACAACCACCCTTTCACAAAGACAGACAAGTCTTTAGTAAAAGAAGCTAAATTTATAAACATTTAAGATAACTTGAGAAATACATAGTAAAAAAAGGACAAAGCCCACAAATTACAAAGATTTTACTAGTATGCAAACTGCTGGTCCATCTAAATTTGGCATATTCAATCTACTTAACCGATTTGCTTAATGTGGTAATTTTTTAAATGAAATTCAGTTGGAGGATGAATGATAAATTTATGCCCTTGACAAAGATAACCAGTGTGATATGTTGTTACTAAGAAAAGAAAACATAATTCCTGGTTATATTATTGTTCTGGCTCATCAGAATTCACAGGACATGTGGGACTCTGTCATGTCCAATGAGGTCAGGCAAATGTAATAGAAGGTGCCCCAGGATGACACAAGTCTTCATCAAACAAATCTTCTGGTAGCCCCTCTTCATCTCCATCAGGGAAATATGTTGGGAATGGTAGATTTTTACAGAAATCCTTATATGCAGGCAATTTAGAATCTTTGATCTGGGGGGAGGAAGCAAAGATCTTATTAATAAGTGATACCAATTAAGTTATTTAAAGATAGTCTGGTTTACTTATTCATAATCAAGGAACAGCTCTTCCTACACTTCCTTTTTCTTTGTTTTTTGTTCTTTCATTTTCTAATGTGAATAACACAGCTGTTATACACTGAGTTCCTTTTACTTTATATATGTATTTTTATTCCAATAAACTTAACTAATTCAGTGACAGAAATATAACCTTCCTGAAGTTAATCAGCTATCTCATGAGAATAAAATTACTCTGATTATATTTTATCCATAAACAGAACTGCCCAACAGAATAAATTATATTCTACAATTACTACATAAATATCAATTATACCCAAATTGATTTTTCAAATATAAATAACTGATATAAACTATATACCTAAAAGGTATTACTATTTACATCTCAATTATTAATTTTATTACCTACTCACATTTTTATTATTCTATATTCTACCAGAAATTTTTTGAGCTTGGGTTAAAAAATATAAAATTTACCTAGTATTTTTGTTAGTCTTAATTCTAAGAGCACATAACCCAAAATATCAAGTTTTGTTAAGGAAGTTAGCTTATATTTAACAAGTAGTGTTCTCTTTGAGAAGCTAAAGACAGGATAGTATTTAGCAGAAATAATAATAAACCCAGAAGTCTTGAAAACAGCTGTATTTTCTAAAATACAGCTTTATAATTTTCTAAAAAACAGCTTTATATTCTAAAAATATTCTAATTACATTTGTAAATTCATTAACTGAGGAATAGTACAGATATTGATATGATCTAAAATGTTGGGTTACATTTTTGGAAAACACTGGGTTCTTTAAAGCTTCTGACTCATTCTACAGCCTTCATTCAGAGAGAAATAAAAAAAACAATTACACAGGGGCTTCCCTGGTGGCGCAGTGGTTGAGAATCTGCCTGCCAATGCAGACAACACGGGTTCGAGCCCTGGTCTGGGAAAATCCCACATGCCATGGAGCAACTGGGCCCGTGAGCCACAATTACTGAGCCTGCGCGTCTGGAGCCTGTGCTCCGCAACAACAGAGGCCGCGATAGTGAGAGGCCTGCGCACCGCGATGAAGAGTGACCCCCACTTGCCACAACTAGAGAAAGCCCTTGCACAGAAATGAAGACCCAACACAGCCATAAATAAATAAATAAATACATTGTGTATTAAAAAAAAAAAAAAAAAAAACAATTACACAAACAGATTAAAATAAGGCATACTCATTTTGGCAATAAGAAATGAATAATATGGTTGAAGTAAGTATACAGCTGCTAGGAATAGCTAAGTACAGAAAAACACCTATATTAATTTTTCTCATTAAAATTGTTCCAAGAAATTATCAGTAAGTTGCCCAGAAGAAAATACACTTGTTTAACCTTTTTTTCCAATCCACTAATCTTGAGTTGAACTTTAACTTGGGGAAAAAAAAGTCAAATTCTTACCAATTCAATTGTCTCAGAATTTGTAACTGAAAATAAAACCCAAGCAGATAAACAACAAAGCAAACAACAAAACTTTCTGTGCAAATTTCATAACTGTGAAAATTTAGTTATAAATTGCCTAAACGGTGAATTCTCAGGTACTTTCAAATTTTTATAGATCTATTATACCCAAGAAACAGCAAGGGGATTCAGTTATACATATATACATATTCTGTTTCATATTCTTTCCCATTATAGGTTATCAGAAGATATTGAGTATAGTTCCCTTTGCTATACAGTAGGTCCTTGTTGGTTATCTGTTTTATATATAGTACTTTGTATCTGCTAGTCCCAAACTCCTAATTTATCCCTCCATCACCCCTTTCCCCTTTGGTAACCATAACTTTGTTTTCTATGTTTGTGAGTCTATTTCTGTTTTGTAAATAAGTTCATTTGTATCATTTTTTAGATTCCACATATAAGCGATATCATATAATATCTGTCTTTTATCTGGCTTTCTTCACTTAATATGATAATCTCTAGTCCATCCGTGTTGCTGCAAATGGCATTATTTCCTTTTTTATGGCTGAGTAGTATTTCATTGTATAAATGTACCATGGCTTCTTTATCCATTCCTCTGTCGATGGACATTTAGGTTGTTTCCATCTCTTGGCTACTGTAAATAGGTTTGAGATGAACATTGGGGTGCATGTATCTTTTTAAATTATCGTTTCCTCTAGATATATACCCAGGAGTGGGATCGCTGGACCTTATGGTAACTCTGCTTTTAGTTTTAAAAAGTCTCCATACTGTTTTCCATAGTAGCTGCACCAATTCACATTCCCACCAACAGTGTAGGAGGGTTCCCTTTTCTCCACACCTACTCCAGCACTTAGTATTAGTAGACATTTTGATGATGGCCATTCTGACTGGTGTGAGGTGATACCTCATTATAGTTTTTTTTGATTTGCATTTCCCTACTAATTAGCGATGTTGGGCATTATTTTTCATATGCCTTTTGGCCACCTGTATGTCTTCTTCGGAGAAATGTCTACTTAAGACATTCAGTGTCTTTTGCCTGTTTTTTGATTTGGCTGTTTGTTTTTTTTGATATTGAGCTGTATGAGCTGTTTGTACATTTGGAAATTAATCTCTTGTTGGTAGCATCGTTTTGCAAATATTTTCTCCCATCCTGCAGGTTGTCTTTCCATTTTATGGTTTCCTTTTCTGTGCAAATGCATTTAAGTTTAATTAGATCCCATTTGTTTATTTTTGTTTTTATTTCCATTACTCTAGGAGATGGATCAAAAAAGATATTGCTGCAATTTATGTCAAAGAGTGCTCTGCCTGTTTATTCCTCTAGGAGTTTTATAGTATCTGGTCTTATATTTAGGTCTTTAATCCAGTTTGAATTTATTTTTGTATTTGGTGCTAGAGAATGTTCTAACCTTGTACATAGAGCTGTCCAGTTTTACCAGCATTACATATTGAAAAGACTGCCTTTTCTCTATTGTATATTCTTACCTCCTTTGATGTAGACTGACCATAAGTGCATGGCTTTATTTTTGGGATTTCTATCTAGTTCCATTGATCTGTATGTCTGTTTTTGTGCCAGTACCATACTGTTTTGCTTACTGTAGCTCTGCAGTCAGGGAGCCTGATTCCTCTAGCTCCATTCTTCTTTCTTATGATTGCTTTGGCTGTTTGGGGTCCTTTGTGTTTCCAAACAAATTTTAAAATTTCTTGTTCTACTTCTGTGAAAAATGCCATTGGAAATTTGATAGGAAATGCATTGAATCTATAGATTGCCTTGGATAGTATGGTCATTTTAACAATATAGATTCTTCCAATCCAAGAACATCCTATATCTTTCCATCTGTTTGTGTCTTTAATTTCCTTCATCAGCATCTCATAATGTTCAGAGTACAGGTTTTTTGCCTCCTTAGGTAGGTTTGTTCCTAAGTATTTTATTGTTTTTGACGTGATTGTAAATGGGATTGTTTCCTTAATTTTACTTTCTGATTTTTGTTGTTAGTGTATAGAAGTGCAACAGACTTCGGTGTATTAATTTGTACCCTGCAACTTTACAGAATTCATTGATGAGCTCTAGTAGTTTTCTGATAGCATCTTCAGGATTTTCTATGTATAGTATCAGGTCATCTGCAAAAGTGACAATTTAATTACTTCTTTTCCAATCTGGACTCCTTTTATTTCTTTTTCTTCTCTGATTGCTGTGGCTAGGAGTTATAAAACTATGTTGAATAAAAGTGGCAAAAGTGGGCAATTGTCTTGTGCCTGATCTTAGAGGAAATGCTTTCAACTTTTTGCTGGTGATTATGATGTTAGCTGTGGGCTCATCACATATGGCCTTTATTATACTGAGGTAGGTTGCCTCTATGCCCACTTTCTGGAGTTTTTTTTTTTTTTCTTTTTATCATAAATGGATGTTGAATTTTATCAAAAGTTTTTTCTGCATCTATTGAGATGACCATATAATTTTATTCTTTAACTTGTTAATGTGGTGTATCACACTAATTGATTTGCAGATACTGAAAATTCATTATACCCCTGCGATAAATCCCACTTGATCATGGTGTATGATCCTTTTAATGTATTGTTGGATTCAGTTGGCTAGATTTTCTTTTTTATTTGGTTTGATTTTGTTGAGGATTTTTGCATCTATGATCATCAATGATATTGGCCTGTACTTTTCTTTCTTTGTGATATCTTTGGTTTTGGTATCAAGGTGATGGTGGCCTCATAGAATGAGTTCAGAAGTGTTCCTTCCTCTGCAATTTTTTGAAATCATTTCAGAAGGATAGGTGTTAACTCTTCTCTAAATGTTTGGTAGAATTTGCCTGAAGCCATCTGGTCTTGGACTTTTGTTTGTTGGGAGTTTTAAAATTACTGATTCAATTTCAGTACTGGTAACTCGTCTGTTCATATTTTCTATTTCTTCCTGGTTCAGTCTTGAGAGATCGCACCTTCTTAAGAATTTGTCCATTTCTTCAGGGTTGTCCATTTTATGGCTATATAGTTGCTCGTAGCAGCCTCTTACGATCCTTTGTACTTCTGTGGTATTGGCTGTAACTTCTGCTTTTTCGTTTCTGATTTTACTGATTTGGGCCCTCCTTTTTTTCCATAATGAGTCTGGCTAAAGGTTTACCAATTTTGTTTATCTTTTCAAAGAATCAGTTTTTATTTCATTGATCTTTTCTACTGATTTTTTTAAAGTGTCTATTTCATTTATTTCTGCTCTGATCTTCATGATTTCTTTCTTTCTGCTAACTTTAGGTTTCAACTGTTTTTTCTCTAGTTGCTTTAGGTGTAAGGTTATGTTGTTTATTTGATATTTTTGTTTCCTGAGGTAAGATTGTACTGCTATAGACTTCCCTCTTAGAACTGCTTTTGCTGTGTCCAATAGGTTTTGGATCATTGTGTTTTCGTTTTCATGATTTTCTAAGTATTTTTTGATTTACTCTTTGATTTTTTCAGTGATCCATTGGTTGTTTAGTAGCATACTGTTTAGCTTCCACGAGTTTGTGTTTTTTG